AACCTCCACGTAGTTCTATTACGGCTTTGTATTAAACAAGTAGACCGAGAGCAGCCTAAATTACAGCTGTTAGAGATGGTCCCAGTCCTTCCTGTCACTGCAGGGCCTGTTGGAGAGTGACGCTGCATTAAATCTCTGCTGTTTTCTTGCAAAGAGCTTACGTCTTTAAACAACATGCATACTACAAAGGGGAAAAATAAAATATATAGGCAAAAGGGTAACAGTTGTTTTTGGATAATACAGTATTTGCCAGCTATACATATAGATTCATTCACACATAAAATTATGCAACATATTTTTGTGAAATCTTCTCCTTGATTTTATTTAAAAGTTAGAATTATCTTTAAATCTCTGCAAAAGTCATCTCTCTGAGGGCATAACAAACATTTTCTTGCTTAGTGACTCACCCACCACTACAATATGAATTACTCTTAAAGTTCAGAGTTTCTGTTAGATACAAACAAGTAATATGAATTTATCCCTCACCAAAAGTTTAACAGCAGAGGCTTCCCTTTGTCTTTGAAATTCACTAATATAGCAGAGATCTTACATAAATTGGCTTACGTAAATAATTACCTATTTTACAGAAACCCTCATGAAAAAGCTAGTCGAGGAACAGATTTTTAAAAGCGTGTAAGGACATGGAGATAGAAACAAGCCTTTCGGGACATTTTTTTCAAGTCAACTCATTTCCCCATCAGATTAGTCTATGTCAGATTCCTTACAGGAGGAGCCATCAGCTAGTGAGTTTTTAAGCAGCTCACAAGTAGTTTGCCTGCAGCTCCCTTGAGTTGCTCTTCTGCTGATGTGGTGACACACAGTCAATGACAGGGCTGAGTTGTTACAGACACTTTCATATAATTTGAATATTTGGCTCTTTCTTTCTTGCTAATCAAATATTTCCACATTTCACACTGTTCTCAGCTATGATACAAGGCCTTAACAAAGAGTTTTTGACACCTAGATCAGGAAGATCAGTCACCTTTGCATTAGAATGTTTTTAAAAATGCCTCTCAAAATATCCATGTTACCCTTTCTACATATTAATATATTACATACTTTCCTTGTTGGAAGTGACCTTTATTTTATATATCCCTGGTCTTGAAATGGAAGCTGTTTTGGAAGTGAAATGAAATTCTCTAACTTTGTAGAAGAATTGGCCTTTTATACTAACACCTTTCTCTAAAAGGTGGTAGCAAAGTGGTTCAGGGACTCTGCTACACCTTCTGCTGGATTTATGACAAAAGTGGTCCTGGCTGACCCACACAGTATTTCAGATTGTTGAATAAAATATGACTGCACTAGACAGTACCTATAACACTCCAACACATAATATTGATTACATGCACTCTCATGTCAGACCAATCTACTAGTACATCCTATAATTTATGGATCTTTTATTCCCGCAGGGGTTCATAGGAAAACAGTGTTCGCTAGAAGAGGATGTCTCATCACCGCATTGAGGGCATCTCAGGTACAGTCTCCCACTTGGCTTTCAGTGGAATCATCAGCTTTTGGCTCACATACCAGTTCCCTGGGACAGCCTCAGAAATCTGGGGTGAAATCTTTTGTAAAAACACATTTATTAAAGAGAAATTATCAGGAAGTATTGTAGACAACATGTTCATTCCTTGTGAACTTGAGTGTGGGCCTCTGAACAAGGGAGCCATGCTTTTTCTCCAGAAAGTTCCTGAAGATAACAAATGCAGAGGTAGACAGACGTCCCAGTGACATACAAATAGACACAGTGATCATTTTTGTTTATTATTAGAAAGCTTCTTGATCACAAAAATCCCCCAGTTCACTTTGAGGTTTGTAGATCTATATTTAGCTGCTGTCTCACTTTTCTTCCTTTTCTTTCTTCCTTCCTTTCCCTCTTTCTCTCTCTTTCAAACTCTTTCTTTCTTTCTTGTTTCTAAAGAAGCCCCAGTCATCAAGTTTGGCTACGTTCTGCAGACTTCAGTAGCTTTTGTAAATCAGAAGATTGCACTTCCTGTGGCTAGAGCAAAACCTACCTTCAGAAAAATCATCTGTTTTTAGTAAGAAAAGAAGCTCCAAATTGACTTTCAGACTCAAACACAGATTCCTCCAAATCAGGGTCAAATTTGACTGCAGGGTAGCTGAACTTCATTGCTATTGTGTAAGGAGGGAGTACCCAGAGATAAGCTTATTTAAAAGTAATATTCTATTTTCTAGAATGATATTCAGTCCTCTTTTTTTTTTTTTTTTCCCCCAAAGAATTCTAATTGCTTGAATGAAATGTTGCCCATTTAGCTGAGTAAATATGCAATACATGCAGCAGTTAAATGCTGTTGGAAAATTTTAATTTAATTCCTTTTTTCCCTATGAAATAATGTTTCTGTAAATGGTCTAATTGTTTAGTTTAAATGTTAGATGCTGTGTTAATTTAAAACTAATGCTTTGGTTAAAATGATCAAAATTCTACGGCTTCAATGTCAAAAGTTAATGGCCCAAATGAGGGGCACATGTAAGGGAAATACTGTAAGAAGGTTAAAATAGTTTGCTGTTTGTGTAACAGCCCTTATAATTTTTGTTTCATGAATCACTATGACAAGCATACAAAATACATAGTATTGAAAATTATATTTTTTGTAAGATACCAGTAAAAAGAGATAGTGTTTAAAAGATGTTGTATGGCTCTTTATCCTTAAATAGCATTGTCTTATCTAAATATATCAATATCAAAAATAAAGTTAGAGCCAACTACAACACCTTGTTTCAATCACCCTGTTTCAATCAACACCTTGTTTCAATCACCCTGTTGTTAAAAAGGTGATATTAGCTTTATCTTGGGGGCAGAGGAATATTCATTCAAGACAATATTGCACTTTGATCAAGAACTGTACTTTGAACTTCTTTTGCAAAAGAAAAATTATACGAGTGAAACTTTTTCAAAGTAAGCTGTCAACTCTTTCCTATTAACACACTTCTGATATATTTTTGCAAAAATCTAATGAGCTATAAGCAATGCATTTGTTTGGAGCAAGAATGCTGCAAACCCTGCTTGAAATTAAGCTATGTCCCCCATAGAGAAGAATATGCACCTGAAACATTGGTTTAATTTCAACAGTTAAACTGAGGAATCCCTGAGACTGGATTTCCATCTAACCAAGGGCTTTTCACCACACAGTGGTAGACAAATTCTAGCAGAAAACAATTAGTTGTTATTCATGCCATCCTCAGTGCCAATCAATTTGCTTCCAAATAGTTCAAATTCACTTTTAATTGCTTTCCAGGAGTCCACAGAACTTCCCTACAGTGGTGTGCTTTACTACAAAACAATAGAAGTGGTTACAGTGGTTTTTTAAATAACTCTTGTCTAAGAGCTTGCCCTTGAAGAGGATTCAGACATCAACCAAATAATCTTGACAGAAATATATCACAGTGACCATTTTTTTGTTAGTTTGTTTGTTCTGTTTTGTTTTCCTTGGTTTTACACAGAAAGAGAAAACCCTTTTAAATGATCCTGAGCTGCATTTTCCTTCTCTCTGACTCATAAATCACAGACCAAATCAGCATATGACAAATGGTGACATTATTAAGCCACTTTCTTCATAAAGTAAGGAAAAGAGAGATGTTGAACAGAGGGAGGGACTCAAGGCTCATTTGACCCAGAGCAACAACAGTGTCTTTGGCAGTGATTTGTATCAAGGTCGCTTTTTACATCTTCAGACTAAGGAAAAATGGTGAGATGTCCTCCAGGAAGATTTCCTGCAGGAAGGAGGCATTAACAATACTGCAGCCTGTACAGAAGTTGTAGGGCAGGACAAGAATGAGACCTGCAGCACGAGAAAAATTATATAGTTGTGTTTAGGGATTCTTTCATTGAATTTAATGCTAAAAATGCTTGTTGTTTGTTTGTTTAACCAAATCACAGTTGAAATAATTTTAATTATGCTATAATTGATCCAGAAACTGAAAATGAAACATCCAAGAAAAAAAATCTGCATTCTTAATCCTGAAACATTTCCCAACATATTTTGTTTTAACTCTCTGATATACAGCTTTTTGGGGGATGATGTTTTCAATAATTGTTTGGAGTAATTTCTCATATCAGCCAGAAAAAATACATAACCTTGAAACCCTGATCTCAGTTTACTGCTTTCATTTAAGGTTCAACTCAACTTTATACAGATCCTGAGATTTAGGAGGTCAACAAGTGTCAATGAAAATTCTTTTCATCCACCCCTCAGCTCCAAGAAAGGATCATGTTTAGCAAGTGATATGATATATTCAGGACTAGTAGCATTTACAATCACTCCCCAGACGTTCTAAGACCAAGGTAGATAGATGTGATCTAGACCTTTAACGTTATGAACCAGTATACTTCACAATCCTATTCACAAACATAGCAAAGCACTTTAGTCCTCATTATTTGAGCTAGAAGGTTGTTATCCTGAACTTTTTTATCACAGTGATTAGAGACCTATTTCTAGCTTAGATTTATTAATGATCCAGGTGTACTTATTTAACTTTTTTTTTTTTTTTACCAATACTCTGTTGTGTAAATGGTTCTTCTCCCTCACAAGTGTTTATGCCCATGAAGTATTTAGAAAGAACAGTAGTATTCATTTTCAGCTATTTTTTTGCTAAACTACAAAATTTAGGATTTGATCCTCCAAGGTATATTGTGTCTCACTCCTATTTAGACCTTACATTCCCTCTGAAACCAATTACTTCAATGGGCACAATGCTATTCAGTAAGAAAGCAGGGTCTAAAGTGCTGTGAAAGTCTGAACTGAAGCACTTTTGCTTTTCTTTATCTTTCTTGAACACTGAAAATATAGCACCAAAGATATAATCTTCTCTGTGCCTTATAAAAAGTTTTTAATATTCTCTGAAGACTTTAAGTTAACTTTGCATTTATCTTAGGTTAACTTTGAAAGGCTGAATCATAACTGAGGTACTGTCTGTATCCAAATAGTGTAATCAAGGTTTTTTACATTTAGTCATTACCAATAAATGATGTTATACAAAAATTATTGTTTGCAAGTCTTTACTCGCCAAGCTATAACTGTTAAATTTTATTCGAGTTCAGTTACACCACTTGAGGGAATTCATTTCATTCTACATAATATTTGATCCACTTCTGATTATCCACCCCTTCTAACTTAACATTTCCACAGCTTGATGTCATCAATGGAATAACTGTATATCTCAATTCTGATCTTGGAGTAACTCCACTAGCAGAATTTCTCCATTCTTCTGGTTCATGCCTCCATACAATTTGTTAGTGTTTATTCCGCGATGTTCAGTTGCGATGTGGAGCAGGATTTAGGAGACAGGAAAATAGAGGGCTGCATAGCTGAAACTTTGCTTGCTCATGCTTTGGTCATTGTTTTGTATTCTTGTGGTAATGCTCTGCTTTCTCAGCTCAGTTAGTGGTTGCCCATGTCAATGCTTTACTGAAATCTCTGCAGACTAGACAACCACTTCTTTGGAAGATATCAAAGATAAGTACAAGGTTAATCTAACATGTTTAACTTCGGTTTGGTTTCATTTCATTTCCTGTTTACTTCAATTAGTTTAAATGTTCTGCAAATCTGATCCGTTTGATCTAAAAAGTAAGCGATCTCCTGAATAGGTGATCTATTTATATTTTCTTCCCCAGGATGTTGACTCCAAATTTAGAGCAATTTTTCTATCTCACCGAATGTCACCCTGAAGGTGCAGCTCTCCCAACTGCTCCATGCACCTGTAGATCACACAGAGATGCACAACTGTGTTGTTATCTGAAACCACCAGCCAGAGTCAAGCTCATAGATGCTCCATTTTATTACAGAAAACAAGATATTAGAGATATTAGATTCTGTCAAGCAAATACATTAAAGAATGACTGTAGTCTTTATAAAAGGTTAGAAATGTTGTCACACCATTAAAAATGCCATTATTAACTGCACTTAAACAATGACCAAGTTGTTATTTTGATTAAACTTAATTACTAGTCACAGTAATTAGTCAACACTGTTCATGCATTAACCAAATGCATACATGTACATTGGAATGTTAAAGGCATGACATTCTGTTCTTGTTTATATGTTCACCACACCAAAAAGGAAAATATTTGTGTACTGGTTCAAATAAGTTTCCAAACAGCATCTTAAGTTCCTACCTGAATAAACTCTGCAGAAGATTTTGCCAATGTATTTAACATTAAAAATATCTGGTGATCCGTCCTAATATTTGGCAGTCAAGAATCTCTGGTACTTACAGCCTCTCCCTGCAACTTCCCCAGTTAAGTCAAAGCATTAAATCAAAGGAGCTAGATGTTTTTCATGTACCGAAACTATCCTTTCTTAGAGGAATGTGGACAATACTTTTAGTTATATTTTACAAAACAAACAAAAAAAACACACACACAAAAAAGATTTTTTTCTCCCATTATGAAGGATTAAGTTATCTTGATCTTATTTTTATTGCACCATTGTGACATGAAAAGCATTACAAAATTGCTTTGCCTTTCAGATGAATAAATGTATTGCTTTTGATATGCAGTTATAAAATGATGAAATACTGTTTTTCTCAGTGTTTGGTCATACCTGTAACTTCCCATGTTTTTACAGAGCTTCTTCTGGAGGTAGATTAGCATGTAGCAATTTAGGAAGATTTCAGAACTAGGAAACAGACAACTCCACTTGTTCAGTAGAGCAAGGGTAGGAACATCAATGCAAAGTCAACAGGGAATCCTGCTACAACTTTCACAAACAGTATTGTAAGGCACATAATGGTTATCACTGGATGGAGTCAAAAAATTTCCCTTTTCTTCATAGTTTAATAAAATTCCTATTAATATCTGCAGTAAATTTTATTAAGGAAATAAAATTGACAATAATTAAAGCACTGGAATTACTTTAATTACAGTAGGAAGCATTTCCTAAGCAAAAATGGTTGTAAATTATGGAATCTGGGGAATTATCAGCCTATAATTTATTGTAAACAAAAGCAGAAAAATATTGTCATAATTAATGTTATAAATTTAATAAATATACATAATATTTTATGCAGGAATTAATGTGACAGTAGGGACTGACCTTAATTTGAAATAAGAAATGTAATGATTCAATTTATATGCAATGTTTATAACAAATTCTTTGGACTGTATTTGAGGAAAAAGAAAAACATGTTAGTCAGCTGATTGACCACCTTCCTTTGTTATTACTGTTATATCTCATGAGTAATTAATTTTAAATTTTGTTCATGTAACCTCTAGAACTTGTTCTAATAATCTTGAAATTGGCCTTAACTGAATAGATTTTAGATTCTTAAATAATAAGGACAAAATACAGTAGAAAGTTATTTGCAAGTGACTTTATGACTGTTGCAACTCCATAATGAAAAATATATTAAATATCTTCAAGCTCAAATCAAAAGAAAATTAACTTGCTGAGGTATAAGCTTTTTTTTTTTTTTTAACCTTGTCTCCATAATTAATGAAAAGGCTTCCTGCTTTAGTGTTTTAAGCTGGCTTCTAATATTGTGGATAATTAAAGTATATTGCAATCACTAAGTCCTACATGAATTTTAACACAAGTAATCTAGCAGATTTGCAGGGTTTTTTTTCTGCCTCTCTTCTTTTTCCCCCTTCCCCTGCATTCCTTTCCCACTCAGATAGCCTTTAATGAGCTCTCAGCATCTGATGACTGCAGGAAAATGGTATCTGTTTAATAAAATATTTTAACCACCTTTGTAAGGAAGGCAGAGTAGATTACATGAGAAATATTTGCAAAGCTCTTTCTTGGACAACCATTGGTTTTGAATAAACACATTTAGATTTACAACAAAAGTAGCAAGAGTAAACTATGCAGCTACCTCTTATGATAATTTTCTCATTTGCACTTTAATGAATAAATTATTATGCTGTATCAGTTCTATTCTGCTGTCATGATAAAAATTGCATTTATATAACCTTTAATCAGTTTCATTATAAGCAAAAGGGAAAATTTGATTTTGAGACGACAAACAGCTTTTTTAAATATACTGCTTGTTTCTGAGAATTTATAAATGGTTTGTAGAAACATGCAAAAGGAAAAGTGTTATTAGAGGTGTGACTACAGTAGTTAACATTGTGCTGAGCACTAGAATGCTTAGAATAAGTAGGCTGTGCCATTCATATTTTCACATGCTTGAACTACAGAATCACAAAATCATAGAATCATAGAATTGTAAAATCATAGAATACCCTGAGTTGGAAGGGACCCACAAGGATCATTGAGTCCAACTGTTGGCTTCATACAGGACCACCCAAAACTGAAACCATGTGTGTGAGAATGTTGTCCAAATGCTCCTTGAACTCCAGCAAGCTTAGTGGCATTACCACTGCGCTGCGGAGCCTGTTCCAGTGCCTGACCACCCTCTCAGTGAAGAACCTTTTCTTAACATTCAACCTGAAACTCCCATGTCACAGCTTCATGCTGTTCTCTTGGGTCCAGTTACTGTCACCAGAGAGAATAGATCAGCACCTGCCCTTCTGCTCCCCTCATGAAGAAGCTGTTGGCAACAATGTGTCCTCCCCTGCTCTGTTCTGGGCTGAACAAACCAAGGGTCTCTGGCTGCTCCTCATCTGCGTTGCCTTCTAGACCATTCACCATCTTTGTAGTCCTCCTCTCTAATAGTTTTATGTACTTCTTATATTGTGGCACTGCAAACTGTACATAGTACTCAAGGTGAGGCCACACCAGCACTGAGGAGGACAAGCCCTTCCCTCAACTGGCGAGCAGTGCTGTGCCTGCTGCACCCCAGTGTATGGTTGGCCCTTTTGGTTGCCAGGGCACACTTTTGACTCATATTCAACTTGCCATCAACCAAAACCCCCAGATCCCTTTCTGCAATACTGCTTTCCAGACTCATCTCCTAGTTTGTACACACAGCCAGGTCTGCCTCTTCCCAGGTGCAAAATCTGGCACTTGCTCTTGTTAAACTTCATATGGTTGGTGATTGCCTAGCTCTCGTTTGTCAAGATGTCACTGCAAGACCTCTCTATCCTCAACAGGGTCAACCGCTCCTCCTGTTTTAGTGTCATCCACAGACTTACTCAGTATACCTTCAATTCCTATATCCAAATCATTTATGAAAACATTAAAGAGAACTGGTCCTAAAATGTAGTCCTAGGGAACTGTGCTTGTGACTGGCCACCAGCCTGATATAAACCTATTTACTACAACTCTTTGAGCCTGCCCTGTCAACCAATCATTAACCCAACATTTTAGATTTTCATCATATATTTTTATCATTTAATTACAACAACTGGCTTCACTTGGTCAACTAGACGTGTAACCACATAATAAAAAGAAAATAAGTTTCTTAAGTCAGACATTCCCCTCATGAACCTATATTGGCTATAGCACTTACAGAATTTCCTTCTTGTGATTTACTTTGCTGCTACTCTAACTTCTGTGTCTGAATGTGTTCCAGGGTAAACCTGGGAAGCAGATAAACACTACACAGGTACTTCCTGCTCTGCCCAGTGGTACTGTGTAAGAGAAAAAGAGTAAAGGCAAGAAAACTTGTGGGTCAAGATAAATATTGATAAGTAAGTAAAAGACAAGTGGAAGAAGAGAGAAAACAAAACAAATGAAGCAAAGGCAATCACTCACCAACTCCCTTGGGTAGACTGATGCCCAGGCAGTTCCCAAGCAAAAGAGGTCTAACATCCCTGAACTCTCTCCTCTCCCTTCTTATTACTGAAACATGATGTTTTACAGCATGTTATATCTCCTTGGTTAGTTTGGGTCATCTGCCTGGCTGTGTCCCTGCCCGACCTCTAGCACACCTGTGATCTATTCACTGGATGAGGGCAGAATGAGAAACTAAGACCTTAAAGCTGTGCAAACACTGTTCAGCAACAGCTGAAATATTAGTGTGTTATCAACACTGCTTTGGTCACAAATTTACAAGCTAGCTCCAAAACAGATGTTATGAAAAAAAAATTAACTCCATCCCAGACAGGTCCAATACAGAAGGGGGGAAAAAAAGCCTTGTGTGTGTATACTTTACTATGTCCGTGGATTGGACATGAGCCCAGTTAACTCCAGCAGTACTGAAATCTATTGCTAAACAGTGCACATGCATTTTTATTATATAGGTGTCACTCTCTCTGTTCTTAATTTTTTGGTATCTATAAATCAGGACATTAAATGTCATTGCTTCCCATCCCTCGGAATCTAAGTTCTAATATTCATGTCCTCCATAAAGTGTAAAAATATATTAAATTTCACTTTATTTCCCCCTTTGTAGAACACTTTTGTTTTCTACCTTTTTCTATTGTCATTTGACTTACTCAAAGCTGTTCATAAATTTGAAGGGTAATCTAAACTCGCAGACTGCTCTGTTGCACGTCAAAATACTCAACCTGGTATGAGATACACAAAATTCAGGGTTGGAAGGGACCTTAAAGCCCACCCAGTTCCAATCCCTGCCATGGGCAGGGACTCCTCCCACTAGGTCAGGTTGCTCAAAGCCCCATCCAAACTGGCCTTGAACGCTTCCAGGAATGGGGCATCCACAACTTCTTTGGGCAACCTGGTCTAGTGCCTCACCATTCTCTAAGAATTTCTTCCTTAATTCTTCCTAATATCTAATAACTTCCTTATATATATAGAAGATGTCTTCTAATATCTTTTTTTTTTTTTTTTTTTTTTATAATTTTAAACCATTACTCTTTCTCCTACCACTGCACCCCCTGACAAAGATTCCCTTCTGAGCTTTCCTCTAGGCCCCCTTTAGGTACTGGAAGACCCCCATAAGGTTTGCTTGGAACCTTCTCTTCTCCAGGCTGAACATCCCCAATTCCCTCAGCCTGTTGATCATCTTCAAGGCCCTCCTCTGGACTTGTTCTAATTGGTCCACATTCTTGTGCTGGGGGCCCCAGAGCTAAATGTAGTACTCCAGGTGGAGTCTCATGAGTCTCATGGAATCTCTCTCAAGAGAGCTGACTCATGTTGAGCTTCTCATTAACCAACACCTCCTCGTCCTTCTCCTCAGGGCTGCTCTCAGTCCATTCTTTGCCCAGACTGCATTTTTGCTTAGGATTGCCCTGGCCCAGATGCCTTAAATTTAGCCTTGTTGAACTTCATGAGATTCACACTGGCCCACCTCTCAAGCTTGTCAAGGTCTCTCAAATGGTTGTTTGATTCAAAATACATGCTACCTTTCAGCTGGAACCTGAAACTAGAACCTTTTCCTTCCAGGTAAAGATCAAATCATAAATTTGATATAGAATATATCATCCTTACCAAGAGGAACCAGGAATATCTACCCATTTATCCTCTATCAGAAGGTGGAAAATGGATTAGTGGATTAGACACTGGCTCCTGCCTTTCAGGGGCTGAATTGATGTCAGTAGGTGCAAAATGTGATGATATGAGACTGCCACATAAGCCTGAAAGAGAGATTTGCGGATTTATGTTTTGAACCACAACATGAAGCGGAAGATAGGGCAAGAATGGAAAACTTGAGTCATTTCACAAATGTAGCCCTCAGTGTTTTAAAAATGTCATGGTTTTGTCTTTATTACATTCCCATGAGGTAGCAAAACTGCCAGTCCTTATAATAATCACAGACAGATAAGCCTTTGTCTCACCTGCAACAAGGGATTTTTAGGAGAAAATAAAAAGGTGGAAATAAACTACATACATGCTACACATAATCAGGAAAACATAGCTCATGATAAATGCAATTTATGAAGGATTTTTTTTGCCTAGTTGTGACTGTGTACTACTGTAAGTAGATTGAAATATTTCCTGCATTTTATTTTCAATAAGGAGTTGAATAACTCCATTTCCTTATTTACCCTTATCCCATGAGCAGACTTTCCTAACATCCTGCTGATAATGAGAGCTGGTAAATTTACATAAATAATAGTGTTGTTTTGTTTAGTTGTGTTTAGTTTCCTGCTCGTTCAATAGTATCCAAGTAGAATATTTATTTTACTTTCCATGAGTTTTATTAATATCATTTGATTCTCTGCCTTGGCTCTTTTTTCTCTCTCTTTTTAATTTTTATTTATTATTTCTTCCTTTCTTTCTTCCTTTCTTTCTTCTTTTCTGTTCAGAAAAGTTTGATTAACTCAGTTTTGAATACAAATTAGTAAATGCAGTGTCAGTTCATGGTAACAGAGAGACCCAACAAAGATTCACAGTTCAGGCAGTGAATCCACATCATGAAATAAACATTCTTTACTTAAATTCTGTTTTCACAGCTAGTGACATTTCAATGATTCAAATCATGTTGACTGCTGCCGCTGTGTCCCTCTTGAGAGGAGAGGGGCACAATAAAAATTTTCAATATTTTTACACTGGCTTATCTTAGTGGAAACATCAGGTGAAGCTCTCACATTTATAATGAATATGATTAAAGAATATATTTGTAAAATTGCATACTTGAAATATGAAAACAACATTAGAAACAATGTTAAGAGCATTGAAGCATATTTAGGAGGAGGGCTGTACATTTTACTAAGATCTGCAGGGCATTTCTTATATTCATGTCTCTCAAGTATTTTAATAATTTATTTGTTCTGTGTTACATTGATTAACAACTGGTAGACACATTCATGTTTGTTTCTAGACAAGGCATATGTTGTCTTGAGTGAGTGATCTTTGCTTTTGTGGTTCAGTTATTTCAAAGAACAGCTTTTGAGGACCAGGAAAAGAACACTGGTGTCAGGAGGAACTAAATTGGTTTGAGGATTTGCCAACTTAGTTGATCTTAGAAATTCAAAAGAGCAAATATGTGAAGTAGCATCTTATCATATGTCTTCTCTTGAAATCTAAAATTAGAAGGTGATATGAGACCATAACATAATGATGTTAACATGTAAGGACACAGTGTCAATGTCTAAAGCACAAGATAGTTCCTTCTTTTGTTGAGTACTTCATTAACCATACCTCAATTGTGTTAAAGAGTAGTGGCAAAGCATAGGAAATGATGGATCATTTGAATTCATTATTTACATAAGCAGAGTATTTGGTTGGCATTGACACAGTTCTGTCTTTAGCCACACATATATTAGGAGCTCTGGGAATTCTTCCCACCTGCTTGGAACACATTTTTGAGGCTTTCTCACCACCTCAGCTTGTCAGCATCAACACTGAAGCTGAATATGGAAGCACAGTAATATACAGGTCTAAAAGCATTAACATAAAGAATAGTTAGGAGGCTGAACAACGATGATCAGAAAATCACATAAAAAGTATTCAGAGAACCAATGGATTTGGGTTACTTCTTTGTCTCTTCAGTAAAACTAACAGAAGACTTTTGGGAACTCAAAACACAGCTTTTATTTATAATATTTGTTCTAGAAATTACTTCAAATGTTTAATTCAAAATATCACCATTGCAAAAAATCTATGAATTTAGTAGTGAGAAAATGAGAAACATATTCAGCTACAACACTCAGCCTTTCTCTTTTCCTCCCACTCCAAAGTCTAGCAGAGGATATGTCTAAATTTGACTGGAATACTGGAGATTTTCCTTAGTTATATTTAATTTATTTATTTATTTATTTTTTCTGGGCAAGTCAGTACTTTCATTTAAATCATCAACTACTCCTTTTTTTCTTTTTTCTTTTCTTTTCTTTTCTTTTCTTTTCTTTTCTTTTCTTTTCTTTTCTTTTCTTTTCTTTTCTTTTCTTTTCTTTTCTTTTCTTTTCTTTTCTTTTCTTTTCTTTTCTTTTCTTTTCTTTTCTTTTCTTTTCTTTTCTTTTTTCTTTTCTCCCATTACTTGAATCTCTTGGATGCATAATTCCACTTAGAACTTCAGATAAGAAAGTAACATTGATTACACTACAGAGTCATTACCTCACAGCAACCTTAATCTATTTGCCCCCAAAATCAGGAAAATATATGACCCTCTACTCTTTGAAGACTTGTATCACAACCCACATCTCTGGACATGCTCTATCTCAACAAAATTCTCATCTCTTCTGTTCTATGTCAAATTCTCCTCATTTTCCTATTTAAAAATGCTGGTCATTTTTCAACTATATTTCACTACATCATACACTTTTCAAGCATATATTGTGTACCCAATTTGTCTACAAATACACTAATCTTCTAACAAATTTAAATTCTGCAAAATTATACGGTATCCAGTCATAGAATATCCATACAAAATGTGCTTGCATTTATAAAAAGTGCACACATATTTCAGTGTGAATGATACATATATACATAGAGAGAGAAAGATATATTTATATATAAAGATATGTATATATCTACTTACATATATGCATACCAACATATAGAGGTGTGAGTGGTTGTACACATAAACACACATTCACTCATCCAAAATTTTCCATTTCCTACTAAAATAGTGAGTGACAAAACCAAATAAGATTTCTTTTTTCAAAACAAAGCACTGAAATCACAGTGAAGTATTGCTAGCATCACAACCTTACTTGTATTCCAATTTAGCTTTCTATGAATTAAAATAAAGACATATAAATGGTGCTTTCTGATTAAATGAAGGAATCTTGTCCACTTATTTCAAAGACATTACTGTCTTTCCCTCCCCCTCAACTTCCTTTCATCTTTTGTAATGTGCTCCTTGTTGGAGATTTTTAGACACACAAAAATGCTTTAGTAAGACAGACATTAGTTAATCTTCATGAGTTAATACAGTACCATAAAACCCAAGCCAAACCCTGGGCTGCATTTTTCTTTCATACTTTCTTTCTATGAAAACAAAACTAAACAAAAAAAATAAAGTCACTATTCACTAAACATCTTCCTTGGTACAGCATAAGCATAGATTTACTGCAGTGCTGTAAGCTTTCCATAGATTGGACCACAGATTTTGGTCCCCAACTTCCACAGGCTACCCTTTAATTTCCATCTTCCCTTCCTGCCGTCATTCACATTCTTTACCTCCTGAGGTCCTTCCAGCCTCCAGACAAGTCTCCTAGAAAATCTGGCAAATACTACCCTCTCCCTCAAAGA